AAACTTTACTGTACTGAGCTGAAGAAGTCAATAAAAATTGTTTTAAATATCAAACATTAAGGCACACAGGAGAGGACCCAAGATACCTTCCTAAGCCTCAAACAATATTTGGACACCAGATTTTTAAATCCTGAAAAGCATTTAAAAATTACGTTGCTCAAGAAGACAGGACGGGCTATAGTTTGAACAAGATGGTCTGTGGCATGAATAAAATACCACTAAGAAAGATGCACTTTTATAAATGACATTTATAAAATGTAAGAAATAAAGCTAAAGAGAGCAATATGAAGCAATAAAACTACAAAAGGAGAAGTAGAGAAAGTTTAGCACAGAGTGGAGCTCTATGTTGTTCAAGAGAGGATACCATCACCGGCTGCCAGCATGAAAGAAACCCAACAGGAAGGAAAGAGCAGTCAGGGAAAGTAATTGCAGAGAGTTCACCTCCCCACCTCAAAATCCATGTGAACAGTTCAGCATGGTGGGTGCACTGTCAACTAATATGTATGTCCTAGGTATTTCCACAACAGAACAAGTCCTACTGCAAGAGACATATGGCATATATCACAGAAGTTTAGAAATGCTAAAGGAAAGATTTCTCTCTCCTGCCTAACCAAAGCTTCAGAAACAAGACACCCATCTGAGGGAAAGCTACCACTGACTGACTCAGGGCTGCACGAGCACTTTGATTTGCTCTTCAAGGACAGCACTTGACAATTACCAACCCACTCACATTAACTATTAAAGCAATCTAAACCATTCTAGCAGCAAAGCCTGTCCCATCTGGCATGAAAATTTTAAGTAAGCCAACCAGAGAAGAATCCTTATCCACCACACCAGAAATAATGATCCATCAGAAGAAGCAGAGAAATTTGGCTGCAACTCAGCAGTTTACTTAATGCTTCTCATGTTAAAATTCCTGAAGCTACTGTCTTAGCTCTATGAGCTTTGGATCGTTTATGCTAAGAACACGACTGTTAATTGAAAAACCCTGCATAAACCACACAAATATACAAAGTGTCCTCATTTGGGGTAGAAACAGAGATGGTTCTGTTTAGTGATTTAACTTTTCAGCTAAAGCTCTTCTAATTAACTGCACTGTCTTGAAGTTAGCAGCATATTTTCACAGACTGCCTGCTTTTAGCAGTGATAACACTCCATGTTTAGAGTCACTGCCAGGGATTGGTGTGCAGACCAAGGTCACTGCTGAAGCTTGAGTCCCACATGGAAGGGGGTAGAAAGTAAAAGCCGCACTTGCAGGGAGAAGCGGAGGAGATAAGTGACCCTGAAATTCACCAATGGGGTATTCCACCCCATATCCCTCGTATTTAGTGTAAAAGCTGAAGGATTAGGAGGGGCAAGCCCTTCTGTTGCTCTTCCGTCTTCTTGCTCGGTTTTGCTGCTCCTGCAACGTCCAGCATTGGAGGACTCATCCATTCTGGACGGAGCACGTCCGGTCCAAGCACACGGGCCTCAGATCCAAATGTGAGCAGGCCACACGAAGTGCAGCGCGTGGCGCCTGCACCAGCCCTGTGAACCTGGCGAACAACACAAACTCACTTTTGAATAGTGGGTGCTACCCTTGGAATTAGAGGGGCCCAGCCTCCATCCAGGTGGAGGAGAGGGACAACAGAGCTTATTGGACTGTGTAGAGTCAATGGCCTGGCACATTTGAAGCACACAAGTACAGAGCCCTGGTGGACACTAGTGCACAGTGAACCCTATTGCCATCGAATCATAGAGGGACAGAGTCCATCACTATCACTGGAGTGACAGGAGGATCTCAAGAACTGACTGTGGTAGAGGCTGAAGTGAGCCTAACCAGGAATAAGTGGGAAAAACACCCTATAATGACTGGTCTAGATGCCCTGTGCATCCTTGGCATAGACTTCCTCAGGAAAGGGTATTATAAGGACCCAAAAGGGTATCGATGGGTCTTTGGTATAGCAGCTGTAGAGACTGAGGACATTGAACAGCTGGCTGTTGTGCCTGGACTTTCAGAGGAGTCTGCTGTTGTGGAGCAGATCAAAGTTGAAGATCAAAAGGTGCCAGCTGCTACTAAAACGGTGTATCGACGACAATATCACACTAACAGAGACTCTGTAGCTCCTAACCAGAAATCGATTCATCAACTAGAGGGTCCAAGGCTGATTAGCCAAACTCACTCACCCTTAACAGGCCTATATGGCCAGTGCAAAAGCCTAATGGGGAATGGAGACTGACTGTGGACTATCATTGCCTGAATGAAGTTACACCAGCAATGAGTGCTGCTCTGCCAGACATTCTAGAACTCCAGCATTAGCTGGAGTCCAAGGCAGCTAAGTGGTATACTACCACTGACATTGCTAATGCTTTCTTCTCTATTCCTATAGCACCAGAATATAGGCCACAGTTTGCCTTCACCTGGAGAGGTGTCCAGTATACCTGTAATCAACTGCCCCACGGGTGGAAACAGCCCTACCATTTGCCATGGACTGATCCATACTGCACTGGAAAAAGGTGGAGCTCCAGAACACCTACAATACATCAATGATGTCATTGTGTGGGGTAATACAGCAGCAGAAGCCTTTGAAAAAGGTAAGAAAATAATTCAAATTCTTTTAGATGCTGGATTTGCCACCAACAGAAGCAAGGCCAAGGAACCTGTACGAGAGATCCAGTTTTTGGAAATTAAATGGCAAGATGGGCATCCCCAGATCCCAATGGATGTGGTTAACAAAATAACAGCCATGTCCCCACCAACTAACAAAAAGCAAACACAAGCCTTTCCAGGTCCTGTTGGTTTCTGGAGAATGCATATTCCTGGTTACAGTCAGATTGTAAAACCCCTCTATGAAATGACTCAAAAGAAAAACAATTTTAACTGGGGTCTTGGACAAAAACAAGCCTTTGAACAGATCAAACGAGAGATCGTACATGCAGTAGCCCTTGGGCCAGTCCAAACAGATGTACTCTACATTGCAGCTGGGAGTAACGGTCCTACCTGCAGCCTCCGGCAGAAAGCACCAGGGGAGAACTGCATTAAACCACATAAATACACGAAGAAAAAGCAATTCACCTCTTTGCTGCCTAAAACTTAAGTCTTCATGAATACTGTAGTACTATATGAAACTGTAGACAGACATTAAGCTGCAATCACAATGCAACTAGTAGAGGACTACTGTGAATTCTTCCTGCAGTTTCAATGTCTCCGAGGAAAGAGCAAACACATGAGACAAAGACAAAAGTTTAAAGACATCTCTCTTGGTTTTGTTTCGTTCTCTAGCCAAAACCACTACTACACACCTTCTTACATGCATCATATGATCATTCCTTCCACAGCCTCCAGTGAAACACAGAGTCGTGCCTGGGTAAGGGGAGGAAACCCTTCAGAGTGACACAAACCTATAGGGTTGAACTTCATCCCAAGTGTTATCCATTTTTACTACTGCAGGTTACTATATCTAGAACTTAATAATCCCTTTCCTTCAGACTTCTTTGCCAAAATCCCCAATACTGCAAGCCTTCCATAAACACATGACCTCCAGTTCTTATTAAACAAAAAAAAAAAAAGTCTTAAAGGAACAAAGTGCCTTATTTTACTTTTATTCATGACAGTTTCTGTTTGCAATCTCACTTGTGCACTGAATATACTGGGCCCACAACTTAATTTTGAAGGCAATTAAATTAAAAATCCTTTAAGGAATGAGTTCCCTTGACATACAGTTGCAAGTGATGCCTATAGTTCAGTTACAGTTCACAAAACCAGTGCTGAACGGCAAAGGAAAACATTAATGCCTAAATAATGGCTTCTGAAAACTACCTGCACTGTGAGTTTCTGCTAAAACTATAACTCCAAAAGTTTAGTCTATTACAGAACACACCAGAAGTAAGATCTGCTATTTTCTAAGGTTAATTTGTAGTTGGAGAAGATCGATCAAGTATCTCTAGGTCTTCTCCTAAGAAATCCAGATGTTGATTACTAATTCTACATAGCTTCCATAAATGCTGTATGAATACCCTCCAATAGTAAATCTTGTGTTTGAAATACATTCTTTCAAACACCTAATTCGTATTTCTAATGCTAGCCTACACTTATCTAACTTGGCATTACACCATAAGCTACTATTTCTTTAAATACACCTAGAAAACTGAAATACAAAATTAACACCATATATGAATAAGCCAAATATAAGAAACTAGAAAGCTAAGGCACATAAACTTGTCTGAGAAAAATATCTCAGAATTCATATCCATGGCACATCAATGCTACTCGGTTTCCATGAACCAAAAATAGTACTAACATGGACAAGGCCAAATACTTTAAAAGATGTAAGTTGAATTGCTCATCTACAGTTTAAAATGGCATTTCACAGCACGTAACTTCTTGCAGCCAGAAAAGAAAGCCTTTAGGAGGCATGAATGGCAAGTTTCATTAATTATTTTGTTCAAGAACTAGACTCAAAAGTGTAACAAGATTTGCCTGCCCTCTGCAAGAGACAAAAAAAACCATCCGAACACAGCAAACACATGATTTGCATCTTCTCTCCAGAAGGGAGGTAATATTTTCTACTGCTGCTACTGCTTCGGTTTTTTTTTTTTTTTATTTACAGAGACATAAAAAGCTAATATTTATTGTAATTACTGGAAGCAACTTGTAAAGTAATTTTGATTAAGGACAGGCAATCTATTTCATTTCATGTGCCTGACAGTCATATTTGCAAGTTCTGCTTTTTTATTAATTGCATATGACCTTTCCCAAACAAATAAATTCCCTCCCCCAAAAAGTTCTGGTTTAAAGCTTTGAGCTTGCTCCCTAGACGTACAAATAATTTCTAAGAAATTATATTTTTAGACTTTTACTTGGAGAAGCTATCTTAAGGCATAGCTACAGCTATTTTTTGTATTTTCGTAGGTTAGAAAAGTAATGGCACAAAATCCCCTAACCCAAACTTTAGAATTTGTCCGTTTCATTTCCCAATTTTTTTTTTCTCTTTTAAAAAAAAGCATTATGACCAACTTACCCTCTTTGCCTTTGAATCTTTCCTGATCGTATCTGTTGTAGGCAGCTGGAATAGGTTGCTTATTTCGTAAAGCAGGATCCTAAAACAGGTTAAATTAGATTCGTAAAACATACTGAAAGGTCTTTGATGTTACTGAACTTCATAAAATATTACATGGAACTGCCTAGGAGTATAAAATTAGTTCGCTTTTGTAAGAGTTTCACTGCATTGGAAAACTTGTGATATGCTTCCCTTCAACATCCATTTACAAGCTTGCAGAAATGGAGTTTAGAAGTACATACTGAAAGCAATGACAACAACCTGAGGCAAAACTAAAGTAGCAGTAACAAACTACATGAGTAAAATCTGTAAGTTTTATATATCACGGAATTTTTGTAATATCTCAAGAATTAGCAGGCAGAAAAAAAACGTCTGCTGAAAACTCATGATTAAGCCTTCAGCCCTACACATAAAATGCTCCTTACTAGGATGATTAAGCTAAAATTCTCCTAAACATACAGAATAAAACAAATTTGGAGGGAAAAGACACAGAGGGGGGAAAAAAAATAAAGCACCAAATCTAGAGGCACATTAAATACCAATTCAGTCTTTTTTGTGGATGGCTTATTTATGCATTCACAGCTATTCTGAATGGGACATCTGAACAGTCCCACGTACAATTTACAGAATTCAGCACAAAACAAATATTTAAACGTTGGAATTCATCTTGCCATTAAAATTTACTTCTTTGTTAAATGCAGTAGCAGCAAAACTAAATCCAAATATGATTAAATAGCTTTTACAGCAGAATGCCATTGAGTTCAAGCCTATATTAGGTGTAATAGAGCTCAATAGTAAACACCACAATACAAACCAAATCCCGTCTAATACCTAGCTAGACTTCAACAACAAAGCTCTAAAGTCTGTCCTCCTGATTTATTACAGGCAAAAGAAAGCTGGTTCAAGCTGTTCCCACTCATGAGTCATGTTCCAGATTCTTAAACATTTGCTACCCTATCTGTCAGGAAAATAGCAAAACATTTTGTTTGAAATGGCAGTAGTCTCATCTAATATATTTTTTGCAAATAGATGCAGGATGTCACTAGCGTTTGATAGATGCAGAAGCTGGCACTGGCAGTTTAATTTCTAAATAACAAGAACATATTGAACAAATTAATGTATTCAACTCTTTAAATACCAATAAATGTAACTTAAATCAAAGAATATTTGTGAAGTTATGCTTGCGAGCGGTGCATTCGTTGGTTTGTATTTCACAATAACAAGACACTCTGCTCTCACTTGTGGTGACACAGCCTCCATACTCAAAGTGCTGCTCTTACCGTTGGTGCTGTATTTGGTGCAGGTCTTTGCTCAGGTGCTCGGCCTTCTTCTCTCGCCTTTACTGACTGCAGAATTGCAAAAATGTTCTTGGCAAAGTTCTGTAAAACATATCAGATGCCCATGAACTTTGCTGACTATCTGTGTTTCACATAACAACACAGGTAGAAGAAACCGTTTTATTTACTTGAGCTTCACAAAACAACAAAACCAGTGCACCAATTTTCTAAGTAGATATTTTCTGACTGCTTTTCTGTGACAGAATTTAAACAGAACGAGTTTTAAGGCATCATTGTTACTCCCTATTCCTTAAGGCTCAAATTTGCCAGACGTAACTAGCTTCATTACACCACAGGGTAAACCAAACTTTTCACAAAGTGCTTTGTCATCTCCTTCTCCCCTCTTGCCTACCATGTCCTTATGATCTCCCTCTGGAACACTTCCTGCCATAGCAAGGAGGGAAAAGTTTTACTCAAGATTCCCAGGACTTGTCTCATCTCTGAGGCCCAGGTGTGCATCTGCTAATGAGCACCTGTCTGCTCACTTTTGGCCTCCTGACAGGATCTCTCAGACACAGCCCCACTGTGTGCCAAACCTGTGCTACAGCTTTCTTCCACACAAGCACAATCAGCTACTCTTAAGAAAGAGTCGTTATCTTCAGGGAAGAAGGCTCAGGAGGCTTTCCCTGATCCTGCATGGAGCAGCTGAGGCAAGGCAGACAGGCAGCCACTTCCTGTGCTTTCCAGCAAGGTCCTGAGCAGAGCACAGCGTGCTTCAACCGGCTGTTAGTGGTTCACAGGCACAACCCTATCACACTGCAGTGCAGTTCTTGCAATATTTATCTTGAATTACAACTTTACTCCATTTAGCATCAAGTAATTTAAACGGTAGAACTCTCCATATTGGGGGAAGCAAGTACAGGAATCACACTCACAAATCCTTGATTCAAGAGTGATCCAGGATAACTCTAATAACGTCATGCAGTGTTCTGTCAGATAACCAAGTCACTCATGCACAACTGAACAAATTACATTGATCAAGGTTTTTAAAACACATTCCTCCTGGTAATATTAGTAGGACAGCTTTTTTCTAAACAAAAATGTAAACACTAATTAAACTTTTGAAAGACTATGCTGCTTACATTACCACTCAATAGCCATTTTAAGCTATAGAGATACGTATACACAATGCGTGTCATTACTGTATATTGTCAATAAGGGTTTATCAGTAAAATAAATATTTTATCAGCTAATGAAAATGGCTTTTTTTACTAGTTCAGAATAGTATAAAGCATTCACAAAATGCTTATATTCAGCATTAGCATACAATATTCTGGAACAAGTGGCGCTAACATAATGGCACTGGCATTACAAAACAAATAAATGAATTACAAAACAAGGACTTCTAGGGTGAATTTTGTAGAAATCATTTAGAGAGGTCTGTAATGCAAAGCTTCTCTAAGCTTGTTCACTTGACCTCAGTCAGCATTTTGTCAAAACTGCTGCAAGCCAGAGGGGCAGGAACTGGAAGACCACCAGAAACCACCTACAAAGGCAAAGTCTTTCCTTGAGCAAACCCAGTTCTTTTCACAAAGACTGAAAGAACTCACACAGAACTGCATTTGAAGTTCTTTTGAGTCAGGAAAATCCTGGCAAAAAAAAAAACTTAAAAGAGCTACAAGCCATGCACGTATCAATTATACAAGGATACTCAAATTCAGCTCTGTTCTTCACAAAGTTAAGTCTAAACTACATTATTTTACTGGAAATTCAGAGATTTCTCCCAAACTGTGGACTGGGCAGCATATCAATCACCATTCTCATCACTGCTCTGCTCCATCACATACTGTCTCTTGGAAACAACAAGCTACTCCTCTGGAATTCAGGAAGGCAAACTAATTAAAATCAACTGGAAGAATTTTATAAGTGATTGTCGATGTAGAAGCCAAGTCTCTTTTTTGTCACAAAAATGCTACAACAAGCTTTCACATCCATATTTCATTCATAAAACCTATAGTTAACATACTCTGCAAGTGAGCATAAATTCTCATTTTTTTTTAAAGGCACTTTAGTATCTCAGATTTTAATAGCCTGAAACCACACCTTCAGTATCAAATTTAAAATTTTATTAAAAAAAAAGTTTTGATACTTCCTGTATCAAATTTAAAATTTGATATTTAAAAAAAAAAAAAAAAATCAACCTATAAGATTTTCACCCAACTGCTGAGAAGTCACTAATATGCACTGCATTAAAATGTTCTTGCTGATATCTTTTCTCCACAGCGTGAAAAGGCAGTTCTCTCAAGGCCACAACTAATATCAGTTTGGAAGGGAAAAAAACAGCAGTGTTTTAACAAAGCCCTCGAACCAGTTCCATCATTTTGCTGTTCACTGGCTTGGTTGGGGATATGGGATTACATTCCTGTGACAGAAAAGTGATAGCGCAGGAAGTCCACTGCAGGTACCAACTGATTTGCAAAGCCCTGAAGAATTGCAAGACTGCTACATTTTCATTGTTCATCCCTGCAGAGATCAGAATACGCACATCCACTAGCTCCTGACCTAGATTTAAATGTAACACCAAGTGCAACATTGTTATTATCAAAAACTTCTGATCTGGGCGACAAAGCAGGAAAAAAAAATTAAATATCCGTTTCTCTGCGCTAAGTCTTAAAGCAATCTGAACATGCTTTAAAAACAATGCTTATGTAAATCCTCAGTATGTAACAGCATAACTCCATCGATTCTTGTTAGCTGCCTAGAGTGCTGCTACTCCCATGAAAGCACTCCTTGTCGATTCCAACCACGTCTACACCGAGTAGCAAGTCAACAGATCAGGTGGTGGTGGTAGGGAAATAAAAGATGCAAAGTGTTTCAGCAACTACCAAATCAGGATTTCATACTACCTTAAATAAAACCCTATCATAATAGATTTTTTCCACCCACCTCACTCATGCCTCTAAAATGAAGACTTATGAACTAGACATAAATTGGAAGGGAAAACAATGGTAGCCAAAAGACAGTAACAGCAGGTATGGTCAGATAAGCATAGTCAATCATCCAACAGAAAAAGACTCGGGTTCTTTAGGAAAGCCTGCAACAATATGTAAATGCTCAAAATTTACTGGCACAGATGCTCTACCCCTTGCCAACACAGTGACTAATATACACCGAGTCAAGTTACATTTGCTGCTGTTCACTTCATACCAGGCTGCTTCAGGAGAAATACCAGAGTAAGGTCAGCCCACTCTGCTGGGGAAGACTTAGTGAAATTACATCACTAACAAGACTCCTTTTGTAATAAAAATGCTTCCATTTATATATATCACAATTTGTTCTGAAAAACCTGTAATCTTCATTCTGCAACCTATCTTTAATTTCTGTAACTAGCCATAACCCCAGTGCTCATTAGCAAAGTTTTCTAGTCACAATAGCAGCTTTATCATGCTAGTAAAAAACTAAAACACTGCAAAAACACCCACAAAACCAAAATACTCTAATAATGATCATCAAGGAGACATACTGATTTCAAACTCACAGAAAACAATTCCTGAGGCAAAGAAAAGATAAAGAAAAGTATATTTCATCTTAATCATCTAAATGAAATTAGAAGATTAAGTCTAACATATTAAACTAAAAGCACATACACTGATACAAAGTCTGGCATATAGGGCTTCAAAACTTTCCTGTAGCTGATTAAAAATTGTTTACAAAATAGATTTTACATTCTGGTATTTCACTGCAGGGAGAAAAAGAGTCAGGAACAACCACAAACTCATACTCTTTATTTGAGTTGACAATAACGATTTCTTGTTGGACATCTACCCCAAGAGCATCAAGAGCTGCAGAATAAGATAAATATTGCCCAAACTTACAATAGGACTGTAGAAAGAAAAATCAAGCTGCTACCAACACTTCTTTAGATGTTTGCTTGATATGCTCATCCTGCTAAGTCCTTCACAGCCACTGACGGATTGAAAGACAATACAATACCAGAAAATGTATATATCCATCACACATTTTCAGCAGGTCCTATGTACTGCATTAACATGAAAAATGTAAGCAGCATTCAGGGTGTCTCATGAAATTACAGCAGAAACTAAATAACTCTTTGTATGAAACATAAACTGATGAATTGTATATTTAAAAGAAAATATTTTGCACATTTAAATTTAAAGCACATTTAAATCTGGAGTCTTTCATTTAAGGCATTACTCTAGTATACCTAAGTATCAGTAGCTTCAGCTTCTAAACTATTCACCAATATTGAAACTGATCTTTTCTCCCCCATGTTTTCCTAATTTAAAGATAGTTCTAAAGCACTGCATTTTACATTGTGCACTAGGATGCTCTCAGAATCAAAGGCTGGACACATGCAAGACTGATACTTCAGGACAATCACAAGCAATTGCAAACATATTGGTAGAAAGTCTGTGTGAACTATTGGTATTCTCTGCACTGTGCCTATTCAGACCATTAAAATTTCCATCATTTCTGACCGAGCATCCTTCCTCTCCTTCAGGTAGAAACCACAGCTAGAAAGACAGTCTGGAATTACATGGTTGTGAAGTAAATCCTCCTTTTTGAATTGCATACATATGCACCTCTCCCATTTCCCCTACTGACTTTCATTTGAATAACATGTAAAATGAACAAGATGCTCAATTGCACTGACCTGTTTGCAGAGACCTCACAGTACTTCTCAAACTGTTCACTTCTGACATACATACCATGCTACTGACAATTTTAAAAATAACTACCTAAATAAATAGGTCACCTGAGTTACGCTTTTAGGACAACAGGATTTTAAGGAATTTGCAGTAAAGTACTGGAATTTATTTAGCTAACAAACTGAAGCAGAGTATTTCAATTTATTTTTTTTTTTAAAACTGTCACATTAAGGAACCTATAAAAAAAAAAACTGCACTGACCTGTTTGCAGAGACCTCACAGTACTTCTCAAACTGTTCACTTCTGACATACATACCATGCTACTGACAATTTTAAAAATAACTACCTAAATAAATAGGTCACCTGAGTTACGCTTTTAGGACAACAGGATTTTAAGGAATTTGCAGTAAAGTACTGGAATTTATTTAGCTAACAAACTGAAGCAGAGTATTTCAATTTATTTTTTTTTAAAACTGTCACATTAAGGTTTTTTTATAGGTATAAAAAAAACCTATCCATAAAACTGAACTTGTTACTAACTGCTTGGAGGGGAGGGGGATATTAAAAAATCAGACACTCCCTTTCATGAAAAGTTACTCTGGGAATCAAGTAGCATTCCTTCATGTTTCAGTCTAACTAGTATTACTATAGTCCACCGCACTGAATAGAAAACAGTCTACAAATACACAGGGCTAATAGCTACATTTTCAGTAAAAAGTTCCACTTCTCACTTGTTCCATATTCAACAAGGTTTTATAGCAAGAGTATTATAGGAAAGACAACTGAGACATTTAACATGAAATAGCACAACACCTAATTCAGAAGTATGAAAGAACAGCAACACTATAATACCCTAAAGATAGAGCACAGCATAAAATCTGCTCAAAAATCCTCCTCATACATAGCCTAAGCTTATATCGCCTATGAATGTTGCATATGGAAATGCAATTTTTAACAGCTATAGTAGTGCTTAAGAATGGTGAGATTATTTTAGAGCAAACAAGTTTTCTTTCAGTAAGCTTATACACTTCATTCTACCGATTTTTCTGACAAATTCAATGTACCTGTTTACAAAACAAAATTCATTATTGCTCAACATAAAGAAAATTTTCA